CAGCCTGATTGTAAAATTCAATGAAGTTGTTTTCTGTGTTCACATTGAGACAAGATTTAAAAAATAAGCAGTGGTAAATACTCATTCAAAAATACATGAAAAATTAGTTGTGAGGGATGCATACCTTCCACGTCTACCTGATATGGGCAGCCCTGGTATATAGAGCCTATAGGACACACGGTGCACAGGGGATTTATTAGAACAAGTGTGAGTTAATTTTCAGATCTCCAAAGAAGATTTCACATTATTTGTTTAAATGATTTTTAAAAAGTCTTTTCTTCTCTCTCTTTTATTTTCTTTTAATAAACTAGAATTTCCAGTTCCAAAATGACTAATACCCAGGGCCCCACATCAGAGCGGTTTTATTTTTTTGAACCAAGGACAGTATATTTAAATTTATCAAGCTGAATGATAAAGAAATCTAAGGCTTTTTATTTCCAATAATTAGCATGAAAATGACCCTTACTGGATCTTTGTCACAAACTTGAGAATTTTGAGACTTTTCAGAGGTTTTTATTTACTTTTTAAATAGTTTTTTTTTAAATAGGATATAGACAAAGGGGGTGTTGGATGATATATCAAAATAACACTGAATGAAGTGAAGCTAACGTATGATCTAATTCTCCTCAAGGAGACATCTATCCCTCAGGACTGTGGTTCTCAATCTGGGACTGTTTCATTTCCCAGGGAATATTTGTCAATGTGTGGAGATAGTTTTGGTGGTCACACTGCAAAGCAAGAGTTTACTATTAGAAGGTGGCATGTTCAGGCCAGGGATCCTGCTGAATACCCCACAATGCACAAACCCCACCACCACAGTCAGGGTCATTTGGCCACAAATGGTAATAGTGTCTGAGTTGAGGTTGAGCTCTCTCTTTCCTGAGATCTGAAAAAGAAATTGACTTTTAAATTGAGAGGTTATATAAATTCAGAAGCATTATGGGGAGGTAGGTTGGACCATCTTTCTGGAGCCTCTTTCTCTCTCCTACAGTAGAACTCTATTCTGGTGTTAACATAAGAAACCTGGCAAAGCAGATGTTTAATAAATGTCCAGAAAACATGCTGTTTGCTGTGCTGTCTAAAATAGTGAACAACAGAATAACAGAATAAGTCAAACATCAGTTTTGTTACACAAGACACATTGCATGTATATCTGTGTAGGGGAATAGACTGACATTAAAATCAGCTACTTGGGTCTGTGTTCTAGCAAAAATATTCATTACATATTCCATAAAAATGCATTATGTTTAAGTTATGGGAGACAGAATTTTATTTTATTTAAAAATTAATCATCATGTTCACAAACGAAGTTAAAAAGAAAGATTTTAAGTGGCAAAAATCAACTAAATTACTATAATTACAGTTTATTTTTAGTGTAAAGATTCTCTTTTTAAATTTATCAAAAATCATACCAAATGGGCATTAGTTACATGAAAAACAGTGAGAATCGCCACACAAAACACCTTCAAATCTTTAAAACAATTTGTGTATTTTTTAAAGATTTAGAGCATATTTAATTGCTCCAAAAATGCATTCACATATTTATTCTATGAACAAATATTTACTCTCCCTTGGTGACTCTTGTACTACACTAATCTCCAAGACTACAAAGCCATAGAAAAGAGACAAAATATCATTCTTGTAATCTTTTAGTGTGTGTGTATTTAAGGATTTGGGTGGTTTTAGCTGACTTCCTACAAATAAACCACAAAACCCATTCTAGTGTATTGATGTCTCCAAATTTAAGGTGAAGCCCTGAAGAAAGGCTGTACTTAGGTTTTGACTGCAAAGACCCAGTGTCCTCTGGTTGCTGAAAACAAGCTGGTAGTGAATGAATTGACTTGCCAAGCAGGTGCTGTTTATGAAGACTGTTGCTATTGGAAACTGTCTCTTCCACTGGCCTTTGCTTCACTAGGAAGCCACCAAACAAACCCTTCTGAGCTTTTATTGTCAGACATTTCATTCATGCCTCAGCCACAATGTGCACAGCTCATTCTCAGTGCCTATGTGAAGCGCACCCTTTGCCCTCTCCTTTGGTGGATGCCTCCAGCTCGTGTGCCCTCTGAACCTCATAGCTGTTTCTTCTTGCCAAAATTCTAATTAAATCTATAAAAGTCCCTGTCCAGAAAAAAGACTTAATGGAAGTTCTTTTTAATATTCTCTACTCATTAAGAATCTAGGTTCAAAGTAAGAGATAGGCTACTGAAATCCAGTAAAATACATGTAAATTCTATATTCATTTTCATATGATTGTAAGTTTTGAAACTATAAAAACATATGTTGTGTAATGCACAGGATTAAATATCTCCTATCTAATTTAGTTACATCATCAAAAATTCTCTTTCTATTGATAATTGCAGGAAGAAAAATTTAACAGATGTGACTTTAAAAATAGAATCTAGGTTAGACTTGATGAGTTTGAATTCCATAAACTATTTTGCAGGGTCAAAGAATTCTCAGTGGAGGTGCCCTAAATAATATTCTTTAATTTAAATGCTATTATTAATATTCTTACAATCTTTTAGGCTCAACAGAATAGAATAAAATGAGAAGAATATTGACAATCATTCTCAACAAAAATTTAATACATATTAGGGTTTCCTTTTTATGTACACTTTTGTTAAATTTTTGTGTATTTCATACAATAGAACTTCATCATATTTAGACCCCCATCTCCTATCTGCATCCTGCCATATCCCTCCCCACAGGGTTTCATGCCTTCTGTCATATATGTTAAGGCCTATCGAGTCAAGTTTGTGTACCCAGATGTCCCTTGGTGCACGTTCACCCACTGGAGCCTGGTCAGCCTGTCTAGCTCTAATCCATTCTTAGTCTGTAATCTGGAGAATCTAAAGGAGTATCTAGATATTAAGGAAACTCTGTTTAAAATTGTTCAGGGACAAGGGAGAAATAATGAAAAATGAGAGAAAGAGAAGGACCAAGGGAGTGTAAGAATCCAAGCATATTTAGGGAAAGTATTTGCATTGTTAAAAACAAAAGAAATCAGTAAACTAATCATGTTAATCACACTATGTGATTTTTATCTTTATAAATTCAAAAACCATAACCTACATTTTCCTTTCTTTTAGCTGCCTAATAGCTACTCATGTATTCGTTCCCCAAATCGTGCTTAAATACTGTGTTTCAAGACAATGAACACGTTTATAACCTCAATTACTTTATAATATTTGTTATACTTTATTCTTAAATTCTGTTATCTACATTTCTAAGCCATTTCAACTTCTTTTGAAATTTTTTGTGATGTTTTAAAATAAATTATTATATGTGTATTGAGCGTGGGCAAGGGTCACTAACTGCAGCTGCTATAAAATCTGTGTTGAATAGGGTCCTGTGCTTAGGGTTCAGGTCTCTTACTGACACTGTAGTTCCTGACCTGTCCATTTTTAACTTGTATTTTGTCACTGAAGTTTACTGCGGCAATGGGCATGAGCTGAAGGCTGGTGTCTTTGACCCATATACTTGGGTTTTGGTCTAGGCCATTAGATTTCCTTAGCCTGTGCCTGTGTCTCTGTCTGGCTTCCCTATTTCTGTTCCTACAGTGGAACGGCCTTTCATGTAGCTGGCCAACTGTGTCATCACTAGTCAGAGGTCCATGCCATACTAATGTCCAATTCTCTTGTGGGAGTGAGTGAAAATATAAAGAATAAAAAATAGTTATGTTCATGAAAGTGTGTGGCAGAGCAAAGAAAGGTCTGTGTCCAAGATTGCAACATCATACAAGACTGAGCAAGGCTTTAGATTGGCAAGGAATTCCCACAGTCCACATAGCACATGCATTCTACAAAGGAGGCTGCAAATTTTTTAAAAAAATATTTTACTTTTTATTTTTATTTTATGTGTATGCATGTATTGCCTGCATGTATGTAAGTGCACCCGTGTTGTGCAATGCCTGCAGAGTGCAGAAGAGGTTGTCGGATCCCCTGGGACTGGAGTTATGGACAGTTGTTAGCTGCCATATGGGTGCTGGGATTTGAACCTGGGTCTCCTGCAAGAACACTCAGTGTACTTAACTGCTGAGCCATCTCTCCAGCCCGAAGCTGCAAATTTTTAAGGGTGGTGGTCCCCCTGCATTGATGATTTGCTTTAGACATGGGAATGGGTTTCAGTGGCTAGAAAGAGTAACACAGATACTGGGTATTTTTAAAATCTGATTTTTTAAATTACATTTATTCATTTGTTTATATGTAAGGGTGGCGCACACATGCTATGTCGACTTTAGAAAATCAATTCTGTCCTTCCAACATTTGAATTCTGGGGCTAGAACTCAGGTCCTCAGACTCTGCAGTAAGGGCTTTTACCCACTGAGCCATCTAGATGGTTCTGCAACCTGATTTCATTATATGGTTTCAGGTCAAAAGTTCATCACCTTCTTATGTCAATATAGCATGTTAACTTAGCCTTTTCAAGGTCTTAAATAACAGTTCTAAAGCACATACACAGCATTCATAACAATGTACACATAGAACTCATAAGGTTAGGATTGAATGCACACTACTTTAATAAGATTAAAAGAGCCAAAAATCACTGTGTGGTTGAGGGAGAATCTCCAGTCCCATTCCTATCTGAGGAGCTATTGGCAGTTGATGACTACATTTAGCAAGGCCATGAGAGGCTACCCAGGCTCTGGTAGATGTTCCAACATCAGTACATATACTGGGAGCACTCAAAGGATGCAGTGGGTACTAAATTAAAAGAGGGAGAAAGCACATGAAGCTGGGAAGAAAAAAACTGGGGGAGATATGGGAGGAATTAGAGGGCAGAGAAGAAGGGGTAGATTAGTTCCAAATTCATTATGTACAAGTGTGAATAACTTATTAAAAAAGAACTGCCAGTATGTGGTTTTAAAATGCTTATGTTTTATGATTACAAATGAGCACGACAACTATTTCCCTACATATGTTAAGTATGCCATATGCTTATTACTTGCTTTTAAATATGGGCCATGTTAACCATCTGCTCTTCCCATCTGATACTGATAGTCATCAGTTGTGGAGACCCAGGTATACCAGCCAATGGACTGAGATACGGAGAGGATTTTGTGGTTGGACAAAATGTTTCTTACATGTGCCAGCCAGGCTATACCATGGAGTTGAATGGTTCTAGAGTCAGGACGTGTACAACTAATGGCACGTGGAATGGAATGATGCCAACGTGTAGAGGTATGGTACTGATTTCAGCAACGCTGTGAAGTGATGACCACTGTGCATTTTCTTATTTTTATATGCAAATTTAATGTATAATTAAAGATATATTCTATTCTTGGTTTCATTTTTTTTCTGGCGCTGAAAAGTTTGTTTTAAAATTTCACTATAATATATGGATGTTTTGAAATGGTATTTGGATCAAGTGTTACTTCTGATTGTAACGCTCCTCTGCTGTAATGACAATGTGCAGCTATGCAGCAAAAGAACAAAAACATCATGTAATCTGATATGTGGTCACCACTGTTCCTTATACTGATGGGTGAATGTTTGAAGAAGAATGTGGCTTTAGCAAGTTGTAACTTTAATTTTCCAACCCACTTGGGTCCTTCAAAAATGGCAAAAGGAAATCTCAACTTGAGAAAGTTAGTCTGAATTATGATACTTTAATTTTTTTAAGTTCAAGGAAAATCTGTTTCTTCTAAGGATATAATGATTATTTTGTTAATATAAGCACAAATTTTCTATTTTATACTTCTTTCACTGAAAATATTTCATATTTTATGATTATTTGCATAATGCAGGTAAAAAGTCACATTATTCATAGTTTTATAAGAACTTTATTTTTGATAATTAAGATTTCTTATTCACGAATCCATTTATATGTCTATGAGTTCATTACTTAATACATACCTGAGTTATATTCTAACAAAATTAGTAATCATAATACATTTTTCTTTTTCCTGGATTATGCATTTTCTGAATAAGATCACTGGGAGTTACATTTACTTCCTGCATATTTGTATTAATCGATATGCATTTCATTAAAGTGATCCACACATAGGTGTTTCATCTTAGAGGTTGTTTTGCACATTCATATATTCATACTGATAACTGAAATAGTAGCAAACTCAAAAACTTTGTCCACATGTGTTGTTAGTCATCATAACACAAACACATCATTTTTAGGCTTGGAAATGGCTACCCATCTTTTCCTTTCCTATCTGACACATTTTCCATCATGACTTTGATTGGGAAAATCTTAAAATAATTCAAACAAATTAACTTTTAAAAATTAAAAGTACATTTACAAATCCAATAAAGGCTTTTAACAGTGGAATCTTCATGTTTACAGGAGCCGATTTGAACACTGTAATCTGATACATGGTTGGTCTATGTTTTAAGAAATATAAAACTGCTTCCAAATTTCTGTTTCACTGATCATACTAAATAAAGTCAAAGCACCCAGCTTTTTAGTCTCTCTCGAGGTCTTTGAGAAATAATTTTATATAAGTAAAGCAATTTATCAGTTGCAGCATACCAGATAGAAGCTCACCCTTTCTCTGACTCCCCTTAATATATCAGGGAGCTTGCTATAATGTACCAAGAATTTCTAGTAACAGATAGGCATGCTGACAAGAACAAGCAGCATTATCCAGGGTTTAATTCCAGGAATCTTTGGAGAAGATTGCTAGGAAAATAAAGCATGTCACATGGTGCAGTCTTTCAAAAGGTTAAATTAGGACACATGTAGGTCCTAATGATATTTATTTATTTATTTATTATTTATTTATTTATTTATTTATTCATTTTTTCACAGAGGCTGTTTCATCAGCTGTCTAATTACTTTTAATATATTGCAGCTGTTACCTGCCCAGCTCCTCCCCAGATCTCTAATGGAAGGCTGGAAGGAACAAATTTCGATTGGGGCTTTAGTATTAGCTACATCTGTTCTCCGGGGTATGAGCTATCCTTTCCTGCTGTTTTGACCTGTGTAGGCAACGGAACCTGGAGTGGTGAAGTACCACAGTGCTTACGTAAGTATAATTTCCATACTTACAATGATGTTCTAAAGTAACATTAGTTACTTAAACTTCAAATTTGCCAGATCGTATCTGAAGTGGTTAAATTCCCTGAAAATGTCTGATTAATTTTTTTAAATTCAGTTTTTATCAGCACAGCTGCTTTTCATGGAATCTAGTCATTATGTCCTTTCTGGTTTGACTCAAAATATTAAACTAGCTGGGTGTGGTGGTGCACGCCTTTAATCCTTGAGAGGCAGAGGCAGAGGCAGAGGCAGGCGGATCCCTGTGAGTTCAAGGCCAGCCTGGTCTACACAGTCAGTTCCAGGCCAGCTGGGGCTACAGGGAGACCCTGTCTCAAAAAGACCAGTAAAAAAATAAATAAACTACTGTATTTAAATAAAAATGTATGCAACTTTTTTCTTATTTTTGTTTTTACTTTTTTTTGCAAATTTCATATAATTTATTTCTTTTTTATTGGTCTTTTTGAGACCAGGTCTCCCTGTAGCCCCAGCTGGCCTGGAACTCACTGTGTAGACCAGGCTGGCCTTGACTTCACAGAGATTCTGCCTGCCTCTGCCTCCCGAGTGCTGAGATTAAAGGCATGCACCACCACGCCTGGCCTTATAATATGTTTTTATCTTATTTAGATCACCTCCCCTAACCTCGCCTTTCCTTGCTATACTCTGCTCAACTTCATGTACATTTATATACCTATAGAGTAAAATTTGTGGCTCCAAATGCCCTTCTGCGTGAATCTATCCACTAGAGCCTGGTTAACCCACCAAGAGTCATACCCTTAACAGAGAGTGACTCTCCCCATCCCATCAGCCATCAGTTGCCAATAGTTCCTCAGGTAGGGTTGGAGTTTCTTACCATCTTCCCCAAGTCTGTGATGGGATTTTATCTGGATTGACCTTAAGTGGAACTTGTACATACTGTCACCATTGCTGTGAGTTCATGAGTTTCCCAGCTATCTGGAAGACTGCTTGTGTCATGTATCACCTCTGAATTTTAAAACCTGTCCCTTCTTCCCCAATGATCCTTAAGCCCTTGAAGGCAGAAGTTTGGTGTAGGTGTCATATTTAGGTACAGGCAGTCAGCAGCCTCTTATTTTCTGCATGTTGGCCAGTTGTGGGTCTCTGTGTTAATCACCATCTATTGCCTAAAGAAGTTTCTGTGGTGAGAGTTGAGAAATGTATTAGTTTATGGGAGTAACAATAAGTCATTAGGAGTTGGTTTAATACTATATTTATTTAGCAGAATAGTAGTACTGGACTCTTTCCTGTGTTCTGTGTCCTGTCTAGCCACAAGTTTCTAGGCCTTTTATCAATGTTAGATACAGGTTCCACCTTAAAACATTACTGCCTAAGGTATAGACCCTCTAGAGAATCATTACTAACCAACTGGATTAAGAATGTGGGATAAGGGGCTAGAGAGATGGCTCAGTGGGTAAGAGCACTAGCTGTTCTTGGGTAAGACCTGGGTTCAAATCCCCGCAGCCACGTGGCAGTAACAACCATCCATAACTCCAGTTCCGGAGAATCTGAAGCCCTCCTCTGACTTCCATGGGCACTTACATACATGCAGCCAATATACTCATATACATAAAATAAAATAATAAAGTATTTTTTAAAGAAACTTGAATAATTACCAACTTATTCTTACTGTTGTGTTCTGTTAGACTTGAACTTAAATAATATTCAAAGGTACTCCTAGGTAATATGATTTATTGAATCGCTCAGTGTTGATGGAATATGAACTTGACCCTAAAATTTAGAATCACACTAAGCATCCTCTTAGAAAAAACAACAATGTGCTTTTAACACAGCAAAGCTACTCCAGGTTAGATAGTTAAAAGAGTATTAAAAGGATAAATCTCTTCACCAGCTTTCATAAGACTAAAAAAAATTTCAAATTTTTTTTTATCTTAATGTGAGGAGGACATGATTAGGTTGTCGGTTGTATAGAACCTGCCTAGCATAGCAAGTTTCATTGATTTGGTGATTTTTAATTTTGGTTTTATTAAAATAAAAATGATAATAATCATACATACTTATATATATATAGATGTGTAAATTATAGCCATTCAAATATAACAGGGCTAACATAATTCCTTTATATATATATATATATAATATTTCCTGCACATAACAAATTTCTTCAGTACATATATTCAGTCGAAACATCTTAATACATGCTGAAAAATAAGCTCAGAGAAGGAAGTTAGATTGTGCAAACGCTAAATAATTCTCTCACCATTAAGGGAGCAACTAGTTCTTATATGTAACCTGAGATCATGCAACTATTATACAGGAGAGTTTGTATCTACTGAGCAGCCAAATTCACTAATTATAGCAATGCTATAAATTTAACTGTAAAGAGTACTTCCTTTTTGTTTTAAAACTCGTCTCCTTGGGAACTGCATTGATTTGTATGTCTTAAATTCTAAACCCAATATCAACAGAGATTTGGTTCACTGCATGAAAATCTTGGGTAGAAACAAATGGAATGACACCCCCAAGAAATTGAGGATATTTTGTAGACATGTTTCCCTCCTTTGTTTTCGGTTAAATAAAGATCAGATTTTACAAGGAATGAATCACTTCAGAAATTGCTATAAAAACAATGATTGCTCAAGCTGAAATGCCCATTGATGATATTAGCTGTGCAAACATTTGGACTTAAAACACAGATTTTAAAGTCTGAAAAGATGAGGACTGTTGCATTTAGGGTTGAAGGTGATACCATCAGAAGTGCTTGGGTGCCAGGTGGCACTCAGGGTAACAATATGTACAGGATGTTGAAAATAAAAACAAAACAGTAATTCAAATGTTATCATGTTACTTTATCTTATTACTGAATTCTGAAAATTTTTCTCTATTTTATTTAATATTAAATTATTGCTCACATTTTTAATGCATATTTTATTTAAGTTTTGTGCATTTTATACAATAATCTTAATTATATTTAGATACCCTCCCCAATCATTACCCTCCATAGCCTCCCCACCAGATTTCATGCATTCTGTCATATATGTTAAAGCCTATGAAGTCAAGCTTTTATGTCCAGATGTCCCTAGGTTCAAGTTCATCCACTGGAGTCTAGTCAGCCTATCTGCAGTCATTCCCTTAAAGAAAATCAATTCTCCCTCATTCAACAGTAATCAGTTGCCAATAGTTCCTGGACTAGGATTGGGGCATGCTGCATTTTCCCCAGTTCCATGCTGGGTTTTTGTTTGATTGAGTTTGTGTGGGTCTTGTGCATGCTGTCAGCACTACTGTAAGTTCACATGAGCAAGTTTCCAGAGGCCTCAAAACTTCTGTTTCCCTATGTTCAGGCACTGCTCCTGGCTCCTACAGTCTTTCTGCTCTCTATTATTTTAAAAACATTTTCAGAGGTAAATGAAGTATTAAAATAATTTTGAAAATTGAGGTTTATACTTAAGTCATCAATTTAAAAGAAGTTTCAATTTAAAAGTGTTCCATAGTGTGGACAAGCATGCATTGCTGTTGTCTGGGGCATCCCTCTTTTTTTCCTTTTTCTTCTTGGAAGGTATCCTGTCTAGTTAGCTCCATCCTAGTCACATCTAAGTGTGTCTTCATTTGAATGATGTATTCAATAGTAACCCAACCTACACCACCTACTTAAAGTTGCTATTTGTGTCATTTACAGGTAAATAGACTTTCTGGTTTTAAATCTTCATATTTAAAAGCTGAACACACTTCACAATAGTTAATGTAATAAATTGCAAGTTAAGCAGTTTCACTTTGATAAAAACGAAGGTATTACATATAGGAAAATCTGCCTGGATTGCCTAGTAGATCTGAGGCTATTTGGATTCATCCCAAGCCTTCTACAGGCTCATGCTGAGCAGGTCACGCTTGCCTCCTTCATGCTGCAGCATGTGGGATCTGATCCTGCACAGGCTGTGGCCTTGATGCTTCCTCTCTATGGAATTTTTCATGTGAAATATGAACAAGGCTAAATGTTGCTTCCTTCATCTCTCTTCCCAGCAAGATATGTCTTTGTTGTATATAAAATCCATATCTATCTCTTGCTAGCCACATATACATATGCAGACTTTATATCCTTCCTTTCAACTATTTTTCAACATAGGACTGACTGCTTTTCCATATATTACTTTTGTTTCTTTACTTATTCATTATGGTAATTGTTGTTTGCTTCACTCACAAATACACCAACTTCATGAAAATAGGCATCTTCTTGAGTATGTCTACTGATAATCTCGTATTTAAACCATGTGGAATAATATTTGTCTTACCAAATACATATCTTTTGAAGGGAGTTATGTAATCATTTTGTTTGGAAGTCCTATAATCCTATGTCCTAGTTTGTTCTTCATTGCTGTGACAAAATACTCTGACCAATACCAACTTGGGGAGGAAAGGGTTTATTTAGCTTACATCTCCCAGGTCATAGTTCATCAGGGAGCCCAAGGTAGGAACTTAGGGCAGGAACCTGGAAGCAGGAGCTGGAGCACAGGCCATGGAGGAATGCTGCTTACTGGCTTGTTCCCTTGGACCCTGCTCAGCCTGCTTTCTTATGCAACACAGGTCCACCTGCCCAGGGGTGGCACCACCCACAGTGGGCTGGGACCTCCCTCATCACTCATCAAGAAGATGCCTTTCAGACATGGCCACAGGCCAGTCCAATAGAGGCAATTCCCCGATTGAGGCTCCCTCAACCCAGGTGTATCAAGGTGACACTAAAGCTATCTAGCACATCCTATAAAGATAATATCTTCACTGGTTATTGTAGAGCCTTGAAATTCCTTCATGTTATGAAGTTTTGGATTTGTTAAAAGAGGTTAACCTGATTTTCTGTTAAATGTTTTATCAAAATTTTGAAGTAAAAGCCACTAAGCTATTAGAATATGTACAGCTGTATAAGATGGGACCTATCAATAATCATGGGTTGGGAGAGGGTTCTATTCCTCCCTGTTGAACTATTGGCTACTGATGGATTCTGGGGCAAAGTCATTATCTTCAGTTGTCTAACCATTGAGGAGCTTATCAGTTTACAATAGATAGTTACAAAACTATGGTCACACACATTCCTGATTAAACTCAGTGGGTCTCAAATTAAGATTTAAAATCTGAACAAGTTAACCAAAGCAACAAATGAATGTGAGAAAGGGGCTAGTAGGAGGGAAAAAGTGATCAATACTGATGGAAGGCTCATAGAGAGTGAGGAGTTACAATAATTAGAATGTGCTTTATACATTTATGAAATTGTCAAAGAAAAATTCAATAAAATCTATTTAAAATAAGTAATGAATAAAAGGCAGCAAGGAAACAAAAACTATTGATCTTAAATGGAAAATACTGAATACAGATAGATGACTGTATGAAATGGGGTAACAACTAAAAATATAAAAAAACTTTAAATACAGCCCAGTAAAAGCCCTGCTAAATATGTGTTGAAAATAAAAATGTCAAAATAAACAAAATTCGAAAAAAGAAGAAAAATAATATTGGGATATGCATCTCAAGTGTTCAGAGCACAATAAACAGAGAAAAATATCTGTATGCACATGACGTGTGTATGCATGTATGTGAGTATGTGAAAGGGCAGTGAAGGCTGCTCTGTGAATGGATCATTATTCTGACTGTTCAGTGTCAAGGGAGTCACAGCCTTCTCAAGGATAGATTCGAACTTTACTACATGTGCATAGAGAAGTCTTGATTCTGATAAATTTAAAACAAAAGAAATGGAAAACATCCTGAGTTTAGAAAGGTAGTGTCCTAAACAGAATGTATTAGACTAATATAAGTACTAAGTTTTTATTCATCGATTTTGTACACAGAAGCCAGAAAGAAAGCAGAATTTTTCACTGCGATAGATTATCATGGATATTATGTCAGATGAGTGCAATATTCTGGTAAATTTTCATGATTTTTATAAACTATTTAATCTGATAAATTTGTGATAAGTGTCCCCGTTTCAACTTCTAGCAAAGTTTTGTGGTGACCCTGGTATACCTTCCCACGGAAAACGAGAAGGCAAAAGCTTTATATATCAGTCCGAGGTTTCGTTCAGCTGCAGTTCTCCTTTCATCTTAGTGGGATCAAGCACCAGGTTGTGCCAAGCTGATGGCACTTGGAGTGGTTCCTCTCCTCACTGCATAGGTAATGTTGATACAGCTGGTTAAGCACTGCAGTTTCAGAATACGTGCAGTGCCATTTAATGATTGTCCTATTCTGAAAAACTGTAGCTGCTAAATGTGAAAAGCAAAATACAGAAGCTTTATAAAGTATGTATAATTTTTAATGTTTTAAACTGTTGGAAGACACACTTGAAATAGTTTTGTCATATATAAATAAACTGGAAAAAGAAACCTTTCAGAATAAAAGTATTATTGTGAAATACTAAATATTAACATTTATTTACTTTTTATAATTAATAAAGAATGTTCTTATGAAGTGAAACATGCTCTAAAACACATTGACTCTAAGTGTATTTCATAATTAATCCTAATGTTAAATTCCACACTTGAGAAACTTACCCAATGGACTTCCATGAAAACAAAAATCTTATAAGTGACTAGCCTACAACTCTCGAGCATAAATTCCATATAAGTATCATTGAAATCCAAGTTATTACATCCTGTTCTCAGGAATAACTTTTACTTCTTTAAGGGAATATTACCCCACCTGAAACCATAACTTAGCAAATTTCTTGATCAAGTGTTTCATACACATGAACTTTTTTTGATAGCTTGAATTTTTCTTTAGTTTGTACTTACAGATGTAGTTGTATAACTATAGGAAAGGTTCAGAGTTCAAGAACTGTGTAATACATACAAATGAAGTCGACCTGAATTTATTTTTTAAAGATTTATTTTATTTTTAATTATGTGTGTCTATCTGTATGTGGGTATAGTGCACATGACACCAAGTTCTCTTTGAAATCAGGGCCTTCAGATTCCATAGAGCCGGCGTTACAGGTGGTTGTGAGCTATATGATGTGGGAGCTGGGAACTGAACTTGGAAGTTTTGCAAGAGCAGTAAGAACTCTTAAGCACTGAGCTACATCTTCAGCTGCAATATGAATTTCTTGCTTTAATATTAGCATACTGCTGACTGAAAGGAGATGCTATTAGATTCACATTCATGGCTGTTAACCAAGACTCTTTTACTAAATCCCAGATTATTAAAAACTTTTACATCAGAGAAACATACTATAATGTTTTAAATATCATGTTTTGAAATCTTTATTTCAGAACCCACTCGGACCTCCTGTGAAAACCCTGGTGTACCAAGGCATGGATCTCAGAACAATACATTTGGATTTCAAGTAGGTACTATTTTATTATAAATTTTCAGGTAGCATACACAGAAGGGGTCTGACTGTGACAGTTTCCTGAACATATTATTTCATTTATTTTTTATTCACAGCCCCTACCACCCTATCGGGATGTTCTTCCCCCTCTTGACACTTTCCTTCCTTCCTCCAGAGTCCTCCTTTTGCTTTCATGGTACACACAGCATATATGTTCTATTATATATGTGCATATACTAAATTCTACAGTCCACACAGTAAATAAAACATAAGTATTTGTCTGAGTTGGACTTATTTTTCCTAATGTAGTAATTTACAGTTCTATTCATTTCCTGCAAATGTCATAATTTTACTTTTAAAAATGTTTGCATTGCCAGGCATGGTGGCCCATGTCTTTAGTACCAGCACTCGGGAGGCAGAGGCAGACGGATCTCTGTGAGTTCAAGGCCAGCCTGTGAATTCCATGCCAGCGGGGTCTACAGGGTGACCCTGTCTTAAAAACACCAAGAAAATATTTGTATTTATTCTTTGAGAACATCATACAATGCATTTTGAAAATACCCCTGCCCCTAGATATTCACCCCATATCTCTCAGCCAGCTTCATGTACCTATCTTTTTCCTTCTTTATCAAAATCAGTTTGTGTTGGCCAAATACTCTTGGATGTACAATCTGTTCTGGGTTGTGGTCATCCCACCAGGGGACACACCTTTAAAGAAAGCTGACTCTTCCTTTCCCAGATGCAATTGATGTCTATCATACCTCTTCTCCCAAAACTTGGGAATCTTTGCAGAAGGAACAGAAAGACTGTAAGAGCCAGATATGGTGGGAAACTACATGGAACCTTTTTTTTTTTTCAGTCAGCAAGCAACTGCACACATGAAATCACAGCGCTGTGAAAGCATGCTTGAGATCTGCTTAAACCAGACATAATCCTAGCATAGAGGAGGGGAGGTAGGCATGAAGATCTATCCCTAGCTGAGGCGCTATTGGCATTTGATGATTTCATGATTATTTTTTTTGCAGCTGAATGAGCCAGTAAATTGAATAGTAAGAAATACAAATGGCCAATATATGTATTCAGAAAGTGTTCAACATTCTTAGCCATCAGGGAAATTCAAATCAAAACTAATCTTCTATCTCACCCCACTCAGAGTGACTATCATCATGAAAATAAAGAACAAATGCTAGAAAGAATGTGGGAAAGAAGAATCCTGGCCTAGTTTGTTCCTTCATTGCTGTGACAAAACACTCTGACCATTACCAACTTGGGGAGGAAAGTGTTTATTTTACATCTCCTGGGTCACAGTTCATCAGGGAGCCAAAGGTAGGAACTTAGGGCAGGAACCTGGAGGCAGCCGCTGGAGCACAGGCCATGGAGGAACACTGCTTACTGGCTTGCTCCCCTGGCCCCTACTCAGCCTGCTTTCTTATGCAACACAGGCCCACCTGCCCAAGGGTGGCACCACCCACAGTGGGCTGGGCCCTCCCACATCACTCATCAATCAAGAAGATTCTCCATGGCCATGGCCATGGGCCAGTCCAATGAAGGAAATTCCCCAATTGAAGCTCCCTTAACCCAGGTGTGTCAAGTTGACATTAAAGCTATCTATCACAAATCCATAGTCACTGTGGGTGAGAATGCAAATTGGGAATGGAAACCAGTGTAAGGGTTCCTCAAAGCATTAAAAGTGGAGCTGCCGTATGATCCAGCTGTACTGCTCTGTGTGTATCCTAAAAGAAGTCTAAGTCAACATACCACAGAGATACTTGTACACCTATGATTTTCTTCCAATTTTTGAGAAAAGGTTATTGTATATAGCCCAGACTGACCTCAGACTCACTTTACTCTTTTCAGACTTCCATGTATAGGATTGCAGACATGTGCTACCATGCAGGGCTCAACAGAAGACTTTAAGTAGATATTTCCATTTAGCATAAAAATTGATCAAAATCATCTTTTGGTTTATGAGCTTACAGTTTTTTCATTGCATTCATGAACACATGTAAAAAGGTATTTGTATTAAACAAGGGAGATTAAAGGAAATTAGGGGAAAATGATACTTCTAGATAATAGACTAACTGAACATGAGAATAAGATAAAAGAAAACCTGATGATAGCCCTGAGCATTAGGTAATCTGTGATCAGTAAAGAAAGGAGTAGATAGTAAAAGTAAGCGAGGGAATCAGTTATACAGGAAGACATGAGGGTGGCGAGGAGAGGTGGAATGAATGATTAAGGGAGAGGAGTTTTATATTTTTCTTTTCTTTTTCTTTTTAAAGACGGTGTCTCTCTGTAGCCTCACCTGGCCTGGAACTTGCTATATAGGCCATTCTGGCCTCAAACTCACAGAAATCTATCTGACTATCTGCCTCTGCCTCCTGAGTGCTGGAATTAAATGTGTATGCTACTATAAACATCTAAAACCTTCTTATTCAATAAGGGAATTATTTCATGGGAAATTTCTGAAAAAGCAACCTATTCATAACCTATTATTATATAACATATGGTTGGATTGTTGTATAAGAATTATTTAGCATGCCTGGTCATGTGTAGCAGAATTTCTCTCTCCCTTTTCCAATTTAGATTTTATGCGCAGATTCAGCAAATTTTCCCTATACGAGTCTGAGGGGAGCCAAAGTGCATACTGATTCCTAAAGGAAATAGGCAATTTACACATTACTCTATTGCTTTCTTTTGAAGGGTTTTCTAAATTGTGCTATTCTGGGTGAAATTCACTGTGAACCTAAAGAACATCCATTTCTAAAGGAAAGGCTCATCTAAAGTGCCATATTTTTGTCACTAAAAATAGTTCCATTTATTTACAGTTCAAACACAGTATGAACATTGATTCTAGTGTTTTCCATTCTTCTTGATTGCTTTCATCTGGTCCAGATAATACGAATCTTTAAAAGCATGTTTCTATCTTTATTATATCAATGTTTTAGAGAATTGTTGATTCATAGCTCTATAAAAAGTTGTAGCAATTGTGGTCGTCAAGTGGCTGCTCTCCTCCGGCTATGGCCTCTCTCCTGCTCTCTTAGTTCCCCTGATCAGTCATCCGGTCCAGACCCCAGGGCTGGTGAGGAGACTGTGTCAGCGGAGCTGCATTCAGACACAGGAGACCAGGTTCAGTGACACAGATCTGGTTTATTGCAGGAAGGCACAAGCTTATATAGGGGTAGTGGTCCAATCACGGCACAGCAAGTAGTTTAAAGGTGAGGTATCCAAGGGTGGTGCACAGTACAGTAAGTAGTTTAAAGGTGAGGTACCCAAAGGTGGTGATTAGTGAGTGGCGAGCTCCAGGCATCAGTCTCATGATCTGCCAATGGGAGCAAAATGTCACAAGGCATTCCTTGTGGCTCCAGCAGTTGGGCTGTTGCTTCAGGCCTGCTGTATGGCTGTCAATAAGACTTTCACCCTAGGCTCAAGCCTGTCTCCCACAAGCAATTGATCTGAATGCAGACAGATGGGCCACTAGTTGCACAGTGTTAGTTGCCCTCATCAAAGGGATGAAGAAACTGAAACAGAATGTGACTTGTTTTGATCACAGATGAAGTTGGTGACAGTGAACATAAAATATCAATGTTATTATCTGTGCATTAAATCAACCTGGTTTTCTAAAAATTATGAGTCCTTTTTCAAATATCATTTGAGGCAATGGAAAGGAAATGGTTGAGTTTAGATGAGTAATGCAACAAAAGGAATGAAATCATTATCTCTCGATTTACAAAATTTTAGTATTACAATCATTGAAAACTATCACAAAATTAACATAACCTTGAATATCTATTATTTAGCTGATGAATATATACTAGGTTATTATATTTTATAAAGATAAATGTATTTTAATAGTATTATAATTGTTGCAGTGTCTACTAAAACATTTACCATATAGATTAAGGACATGAACTTTTTTACCTACATATGGTTGATATACATAGTTAAAAACATAAATACTTAATATGTTCACTAACTTTGTGTAAAGTTATCACGATAGAAAGTTATATAATTCTAACTAAAACAATTTATTGAAAGATACCTAATGAATATGGTGTCATGTATAAAATGTGTTGTTATGAGTTGGGAAAAACATTTGCCTGCAAACAACAAAAAGTGTTTAAACCTAAAGTTACCATAAATCCTTTGAAGGTATATTCAAATCCCCAGGAGACAATGAGCTAGAGCAAGACTAGAATCTAGGCACAGGACAATATTCAGGCTTCTCTTCTGTTTGTGCATTTTTATTCCTGCCTCTCTCCACTGGGAATGTTTCCAGGAGTGTGTCATCTCTGTTTATATCTCAGCCACAGTGCAAAAAACGAGTGTTCCAATCTCAGTTCCAGAGTTCCAAAGAGACTTATGAGTGTAGCTAAGTAACAGAACATTCATCCAGCATATATCAGGACCAAAGTTTATCCCCAGTCACTGGGGAAACAAAACAAAGCCAAACTTCCTGATCTTGAGCATCAAATTTCTGAGTTTTGGCTTTACCATGGTTTGACAGGTGACTCATAGTAAGGAAGTAAGTTCATAGCTACAGGAAACTCACCTTTGCAAATGCCAAGACAAAATTAAGAACTGCTGAGAAATGCAAACCATTTTCTTCATTTTCATCTTAAATTATTCTGTTTTGCCTACATAAGTTCATGTAGTAGATATGGGAATATAGATATGGCTATTAACATAAATATAACATTTGATGATTGATACAATGATAAACCTAGTGTTGGAAACAAAAGACTCCAATATAATTTCTTTATATACCTGAAAGATTATAAATTAGAATATTTTGGACTGAAAATAGATTAATGGTGCACAGTAGGCATGTGAATGGGAAAGAATACCTATCAAAATGATTGACACAACATCTAGATTAGTTATGGAGTGAATGCCAAGACAAATACTTCATTAACTGTTGTGTAGCTCTTTAAATTGAGCTCTGAGCAGTAGAAGTTACATTATTTGGATTCAGAGCTTATTTAATAAAACAACTGCATTTCAGTCTAAGTAACTAAAGCCCTGTTT